TTGGCGCCATTTTCAAAACAAAAAAAATTGACAGATGTTTTTTTTTTTAATCAGTAACTCGTTTTTCCTGTAGATCCATTGCTATTTGATTTTAGAGTCATTAATTGTTTTCAATATGTGAAATATGTTAATAACTGCTTATTGGATTCATATATCACGACGTCCTTGGAGGTAAGCGGAAACCTTTGTCAAACATTAATATTTTTTTAATGGAATGAAAACAAATTTGAAAACGTTCTACGTTTTACTGAGGTACGTCTAAGTGCTTCATTATATTTGATGTATTGATCAAATACTTGTAGAGGAATGTCTACTTCCATAGAGCATAACTATAATAATAATTACTCAAGACATCTCACATATGGACGTCTGATTCCAAATTAGGCGCTGCTGAGTTATGGGAATCAGACTGCTGATAAACAGACTGCTGATAAACTTACTTATATATTCTAAATACTCACATAGTGTTTCGTGTGGTGACGGATTAAGAATACGGAGTGTCACCGCCCCTATTCATCCCGTGTGTCGTGAGAGCTGACTTAAAAGCAGCACTGCAAAAGAAGGAAAACTTGACACTAACCATATACCATCTGGCCAGCGTGGTATAGTAGGCCAAAACCTCCTCTAAGAAGAGGCCTATGTCCAGCAGTGGACTATTAAAGGTTGTTGATGTGATCTGAAATAGTATAGTAGTAGTAATAGTATAAATAAGTGCACAAACACAGAACAAATGTCCGTGCTCATAACATAATATTTGTCCTGGGTGGGAATTGAACCCATCTATATTTAATTCTAGTTACGGTAACTGATAACCACCCAAAGATTGACTGGAAGAGAATGCCTTGGGCATTAAGTCCGCCAATGTACAACAGTGCATAAAGTTCAAATAAATAAATAAATATATCACAGTAATAGTTTATCATTATGTAAAAAGATTTACGAATGCGGACGAAAACTAGACTAAACCGTATTTAAATAAGGTAAAAAATAACAATTTCCTAACTTCTAATATAATTCTGTTAAACAAAAATGTTAACTGCAAAAATTACAACCTTACGACACACTTTTTACTTCCTCGTTCTCTATAATGAAAATTGGAACTTAAAACTTATACGCACAAGGTATATTTTACATTGCAGTGAAACCTCGATGAACTCGATACAGCCGTTAACTCAGTAAAAAAAAGAAATCAATTGTACCAGTAAAAAAAATGTTTTGATCTTATTTTGGTGTCCTAGAAAGAGTTGTTCGACGAACTACTCATTACGCAACTGTACACTAAGGTATTTTGTATAAGAAGTCGGTTTAGATATTCATCCTCCTTTAAGTGACCTTCTTTGATTTATCTCATAAATACTAGTGATGTGCACAACACTTTTCTTGGTAGAAGGGTAAGGTGAGGCTTAATGCTGCATCCATTGGACGTCAAAAAATATTTTTTACAAACTAAACCTGTTTTGCTACTCTGTATCTTGGAAGCTGTATAATTCTTGTGTATGTATTTTGCCACGATTGTGTTAAAAACTTCTCAGATCTGGATCAGGTGACGCCGAATAAATGATACAGGATAGAAATGGTCGGCGTGGTGATGGATTAAGAATACAGAGTGTCACCCTATTCATCCCGTAGGTGTCGTAAGAGCCGACTAAGGGAAAAACCCTATACCAAACTGTCTGGCCGGCGTGGTATAGTAGGCCAGAACCTCCTTTCTAAGGAAAGGCCTATGTCCAGCAGTGGACTGTTAAAGCACGGTTATAGGCCGTTGATGTTACCTTATAAAAGGATGTGTAAATACTCGAATACATAAAAGTCTGAATACATAATATTATTTCGCTTAGTAAAGAGATGCGATTATTTTTGGATCCATACTCATCGGGATACAATCACAAAGATACAAATAACGCTAGGCTATAGAAATACTATGTGTTCAAAGCGGATAATTTTTGATTGGCTCAAAAAAAGGAGAAGGCGTATACTCGTATATACATTCAGTCACGCTCATATTTTAGAAAGACATTGGTATGCACATTTTTTTATGATAAAGGCAAGTATATTGTCTTCAACCGGGAATTTAAGGAAGATACGTTATATTCATACTGCATGAACAAAATATTTATTCCGTAGCCGTACATACATATATTAGTGCATTTTAGAACAAAATATACACTTACCAGTGATTTTATGATATTCCTTTATATCTATTTACCTTTTTGTCGTAATTTGTACACTTTCGGAATACACAAGGAAGGCATTTTATGAATTGTCTCGAATTAATTAGTACCTGCGCTCGCTCACAGTGGTCCTAATTAGGACCCTCGCGTTTTGTGCTTTGGTGGCGTATCATATCATTGGATTTGTTTGGCAAATATGTAGTGTATTGATTATTATTTTTCTGTGTGTAATTATTTGTAACAGAGTTAACACGAGTTAAGGTTTTTTTTAAGTTGTAATTAGAGAGGGCTTATGTCAGTATTTCTGTAGTTTTGTTATGACTGAAAAAATGTTGTCGATGAATTTTGATGAATTAATTGATGTTTTGGTATTTATTTGTACATGTATTTCTGATTTCACAAACAAAGTTTATGAAAAAAATATTTAAAAAATTATAATTAAATTGAGAGCTATCAACACATATTTATTTATAATTTGTGTAATAATAATTTCTGATTCCTAATGTTATGTTTGACTTTTAATGCAGGCTGTGATTTTCTGTAATTAAGGATACACCAGATCATTAATTTATTATTCTTTGTGAATGCTATGTGATATTCTTGTTAAAGACCCATGTAATAAATAAACATATAGATTTTTTATATAAGTATTTAAAAATTACGCATACATATATAAAAATTATCATGCGTTTTATGTTCACGCTTATATATTCGAAGGAATAGACAGATTCCAGGTATGCCACCTTGACATGTTCGTGCTTTTACCTACAATCCCCGATCCACCCCTATAAGCAAAATCCCTTTCCTACCAATGCCTTTTCTACCTTTCCTTTTAATATACTTCTAACTAATTCATCAATCATCAACAGCTTTTCGTAATCCACTGCTGGACATAGGCCTCTCCTTAGAAAGGAGGTTTTGGCTCACTATACCAAGTGTGGTTTAGTATACCAACCCGTATATGCTTTGTGTCAAGTTTTCCTTCTCTTTGCAGAGCTGTTGTCCTGCGTAGTTTGTTCCCTTAATCGGCTGTTACAACACTCATGGGATGAATAGGGGTGGTGACATTCCGTATTCGTAATCCGTCACCACACGGACAAATACTATGGTATAATATAAGTAGTGGGCAGGTTCTGGGAGGTAGTGGGGTCCACGAATTTAATTTATACAACAGCTCTATTTTTGCAGTCGGTTATAATCAAACTATTTATTATTATAATAGTGTTCCTTTTTCTTTTAGAAAGGCTTACTAGCAACCGAAATGACTAGTATTCCAGTTAACCCCTCCAGCTAAGCTAAATTGCTTGTGTTAGGAGTGGGTTCACGTTCGCTTAAATTCTTGCTTAGATGGATATCACAGTAATAACTTTCGCAAAAACAAAACTCCAAGCTATATAAACGCCATTTATTGTTCAATGACAACGTTATAGATAGCGTTAGACATAAAGGGTAGGCGATATAATGAACCTGTTAACTATTTTCTTCTTTTAGAAATAGTACAGTAGTAGTGTACATTATGGAGGTTTAAGTAAAAGGTAAAGTTTAGGTTTTTAAAAGTCACATTTTTGTCTATGGACCGCTCCATAGACAAAAATGTGATTTCAAAACCTTACTTAGTGTAACCTACAAATTACAATTAACAGAACGTGATACAAAAAGTGAAAACCGAATTAGATAATAAAAATTAAACTCATAAAGTTATCGTTACCGTTATCGTTTATGTAACGGTACGAAACGTTATAATATTTTAGCAATGTTTAGTAAAAGTCTTGAATAATTTTACCTCGTATGCTGACATCGAGGACGTATACATATATTTGATTATTTATAATTTAAAACTTCTTGCAAACTGCCAACTTCGCAACTAAAAACATAGCTTACCTATTTAAAAACCAAGTGCGAGTCGGACTCGCCCAACGAGGGTTCCGTATAAATTTCTAGGTACATATTATAAATAGTTCAAGAATCGTGTCTCCCTGTTTTGCCGAACTTTTCCCGAAATTCAGTTTCCTATAATTACTTAAATTAATAAGTGAAATTGTACCTTGAAAATTGATTACGTACTTTAAATAAAGACTTTATTTTATGATTAAATTACAAATGTATATAGTTTTCAAATTTTGCCCTGTACTTGTAGTATAAGACGATGTTACTTGCCAAATTTCATAGTTCTAGGTCAATGGGAAGTGCCCTAGATTCCTTTGACAGTGTCGAAATATGCGTGTATGCGGCATAAACGGCCTTTTTTTACGTTAACTTAAAAGTTTGATTTTTCAAGGGACTGTAGATCTAAGTATAAGGTTTTAATTTCAACTCGATACTTCCACGAGTTCTTGAGATAAAGGACAGACGGACGGACGGACGGAAAACAAAGTGATCCTATAAAGAGTTCCGCTTTCTCCTTTTAAGGTACGGAACCCTAAATTTAAATCCATATTCAAATTATGAAATGTTTTTGAAACAAACACGAGTTTGCAACAAAACTTAATTGAATTTCGAACTATAATTAAATATAAAATGTTGATTTCCTAACGTTTCGAGATCGGTTTTATTTATCAATTTAATAATCGTAATTGACCTCTCTCTGGTTACAAATAATAAAATATATTTATTCTTGAAATGTCCCGAAAATAGGTTACTTACAATTAATAGCCATTTTTTTAAATGAAATAAAATCCAAATATTTTTCGTTGCACAACCTAATGACACGTTCAAAATACATTCACGTTTCGATTCACACGATTTCGTTCACAGACTTTTGAAAAAAAAAACAGACATTGTCCTTAAAAACTGAACTCGAAAAAAAAACTTGAGAAAATAGGTACTCACTCTTTAATGCCCATAGTTTTCTCTCTTGGAGTCCACCAACATACGTCTGCAGATCCTCTCGGCATTCACCACTAACACTCTTCTGGAGAACAGGCCACTGTTTCACCAAAATATCAGCATCGAACAACCTTAGCATACTCTCTATACCGAGTAACTCCGTCGTATTCATCTGAGTCTCTTTTCTCAGTACATTCCTAGATTCGTTGACAGTGGTTCGTATTGAGTCGCTCAGCTTACTCAGAATATCTTTATTAGGTTTCGTAGTCGTCTTCGCCATCAGTTTCGTTGTCTTCACAATGTGCTGGACGTTGTGGGAGTTCTCTGTCGTCGTTGATTTCGCTTCTGGTTCAATATTGCTGAAGTCCGCGAACGAAAGACCATCCTCATCCGCGAACAAATCGAAAGCGTCTTCAGTAGTCGACTTATCATTTCGCTTAGGAAACGGCATTGTTATAAGGGAGCCGATTAGATCTGCTCCGTCGTCGCTACCACCCTTAGCCGACGCTTTTTTGATACTTTGAAAAGCGTCAATTAAAGCACTACGCAATTTTTCCTCACGAGCACTTTCCTTATTCTCATTTTGAGGTTCAACAGAATTTACTAAAACTAATACATTCAATAAAACTAACACTAAAGGAGACATTTTGAAAAGAGAACAAGACATTTTGATTTTCTTTTCTCAAAGTTTTCACACGCACATGCTTGGAGGGTATCACTTAGTGTTCGGAACAATTTGGGTGTATGAAGACAAAGGTGCGCGCGCGGTGGCGGCGTGTCGCGACTGGCTGCGCGGGCGCTGGCTATGACATAACACCGTTACGAAGTTACAGCGGCACTTTCACTGTCGGAGGAGCTCGAGCGCAGGTGATCGCTGCATCCTTGTAGGGCGGCCGATGTGCGTGCCGCTGAGCCACTTACTATGTTGAGTAATGTATTAGTTAACGTGGTGTAATTAAAGTTTAAATTTGCAAATCAATATGTAATATGTGTAAGGAGTAAACTGAAATTGGGCAAAGATTCTGGCGTGTCTAATTGGTCTATAGCTGGTTAACATCAGCACTTCAAATCTGCCAGTATCACGAGTGCTGTTGTTAAGCAAATATCTTCTCGCTTTTTAACCAAGGAACTCAAAGCAAGTGGCGATAGTGACTTTTATCATCAGGTACCCCTATTTCAAAAAGAAAAAGGTGAAAAACCAACGCTTTAAATAAAAAGACTTGTATACACACATAAATTGTTATGATGATTGGATGAACGGTGTGATTAAAACATTACGCTATGATCCTTTCTGATATTTGTTTCGTGTCTATTTATTCATTCAAAGGTCGCAATATTTTTTTATTGGTAATAAGATGGCCATGACACTGATATAATTTTTTATTGGTTACTTCTGTCCATTAGTCCTGTTACTTAAGTGCGATTAAACCTTAACGTTTTAAAAAGTAAACTTAACGCTAAAAATTACTACTAAAATACTATTTTATTATCTGTGCTTTACCGCTTTATTATTGATTTGTATTTTTGGGCATCAATATCAATTTTATGTTAGTCTAAGTATAAAATAATGTAGTACCTGAGCTCTGTTTTTTCTTAAACGCGCAATTCTGCAACTATAAACTGGATTTAGAAACGGTTTGTGTTTTATTTTAATCTTTTGTTGATTAGGGGTTTCTGTCTATTTAGACATGTCAACCCCATTGTATCTTCTACGTGTATACTTTACAAATTGCGCGTCACTATGAAAACATTGAACCGCTAATACACAGCTGTTTTACAGTCTCAGATATTGGTAGTGATAGAATAGTCTGCGCAATTCCTACATCAATCTGGTGTAGGTTCAATGTTTTCATCAGTGCTTTACTTTCTCTTCGGTTATGGACTATTTATCCAAGATAAAGTAACGTAAAGTAGTAACAATAAACCGCGGATGGAACTACGAGGATCATCAGCTAGTGATACATACAAACTCTTACAAATTAAAGCGAACGTCACGTACTTATTCAATGGGTATAAAATGCTCATCGCCGGATTGTCGATGACATTTGCTTACGTCACGGAAGAGAAGCGCGATACAATGGGCCAGTATGGAGTTGAATTACGAAAGGATCGTGGTTCCGTGTGGTGCTCAGTCGAGCTAGGATTGGATTAAGTTGCGACGTTACTATATAAGATTCTGGGTGTGTCTTTTCACAATAAAAGGATATTCGCAATCACTTGCATCATAGAATGTTTGCCATTTAAGAAAGAGAGAGCCGTTAAACACGTATGCTGAAGATAGTCTAATGAACAAAGTGCAAAACGTATATATGGCATATCGTAGTCGGTGAGATTTCCACACACCGGCTCACCGGTATTGTGACAAAACGATGTTGTATTTTTCTTTTATTTTTATTTTTGAGCAACCGCCCCGGGCGGCAGTGTCAGGGGTAGCCAAAATCATATATCCAATATAATGATGTTGTGTGATAAAAAAAATATGTTCCACAAAGCGCCTAGCATACGGATGCCCGGTTGGCTCGCCGTCAAAAAGGCGTCCACACTGACCCACACTACAAGTAAACTTATCTTATCTCAAACACTGGAGAGAGAGGCGCCACTATCAAGTTTCAGGCCCGGTTCGAAAAAATCGTTGATCCGTAGCTGCTTTTGAGGATCTTAAAATCATGAGGAGGGCGAGTTTGAGCTCCGATAACCTCAATCTCTTGGTGGAAAGCAACGTAAGAATTCTTAACACCGGTTTACTGTCTGACCTTGGTATCAGTGCGGTCTAGCCGGCCCATTTTTACCGAAGAATAGCTCTCCCACGGTAATTCTACTAGCCAGTATGCTAAACGTTACACAGTCTCTTTCAATTATACTTTAGGAAATTACTCTAAAAATGTTTCTAAAACAACACCTTGTTAATGTAATGATTAGAAAGCCTACCCACAACTACATTTAAATGATTCTTTTCCCAAAATGAATACAGTTCGCTATGGAGACTTGGTATAGGGTTTGTGTCAAGTTTTCCTTCTCTCTGTAGTGTTGTTGTTCTGCGTAGTTTTGCTCTCCTAGTCGGCTCTTACGACACCCACGGGATGAATAGGTGTGGTGACACTCTGTATTCTTAATCCGTTACCACACGGACACCAACATGTCTGGCCAGCGTGGTATAGTAGGCCAAAACCTTCTTTCTAAGGAGAGGCCTATGTCCAGCAGTGGACTATTAAAGGGTGTTGATTATGCGTGATGTGATGGAGACTTGGCATTATAAAGTTAACCAGTTTGTGGGTTGAAGTGTTCCTGCATTATCACATCACATCATCATCAAACCCTTAATAGTCCACTGCTGGACATGAGCATCTCCTTAGAAAGAGGTATTACCATACCACGCAGGAAATCTTGACACAAACCCTATACCAACCCTCAGGGGGTTGGTATAGGGTTTGTGTCAAGATTTTCTTCTCTTTGGAGTGCTGTTGTCCTGCGTAGTTTGCTTCCTTAGTCAGCTCTTACGACATCCACGGGACGAATAGGAGTGGTGACACTCCGTATTCTTAATCCGTCATCATACGGATGCTCAAATTGTTTCTAAACAGCACACCAATTACAGATTCTAACTCTTAGATATCTATGAGGGACAGTAATTATTTATCGACTTTATAGAAAATAATGAGAATCTTTTTTGGATTGTATTTATTATTTTTTTCTTTAGAAGGCATTACATTTAGATGGCAGTACTAATAAAATACCCAATGGTAATCGGCCATGGCTAGGGAGGTCATTTTGACTCGAGGGAATTTTATGAAACTTACTCAAGAGTTTTTTTACTGTCGTTGGAGCCACTCGAGTAAATAATCTATTTGATTATAATGATAATTAACGATTATGATTGATTAGTGATGCGAACATTACACGTGACACCGAGAAAAAAAACTATGCCTTTTAAATTCCATATTCAAAATATTGGTAAATCCAATTGTTTTGTTTTTTTTACTCGTTAACCTAACAAGTACATAATAAAATAGAGCATTAGGATTGTTATGTTATATAAGCATTGTACACACGTTCGATTTCAAAATACAAAGCGTGTGGGAACCAGAGATAATAGTTCTCCCATCCATATTGTTTTGTCTGTGAGTCTATGATAATGTGTGCCAACTTGCTTTTTACTGTACTTTCGTTTGTACCGATCCCACTGTTCAATTAGTGGAGTTTTACAGAATTATTTACTATTATATAAAAGAAAGAATCCCTCGCAAGATAATATATTTTTAACAGCGATCTGGTACAGCAAGTTTAAGAAATATTTAACTATATAAAATCTATAGTTGTATTTCTCGTATGTTCATCTTTATTTTAAACTTTAAAAACCTTTAATTCAATGTATATGGACATCGCTACACATGCCGAAATTAACTAATATCTCATAACTACAAATACAAGTGCTGCACGGATGGCGTAGTGGTTTATGCGGTCGCCACGCCGCTTCCTATTACGTTAAGTGTTGTGGGTTCGAGCCCCACATGGGACGACACTTTGTGTGACTCACAAATTGTCGTTCTGAGTCTGGGTGTTCCTTCTGTCCGTTTCATGTGTGTTTGTAAAGTCCCCGCAACACAGGCCATATTCCTAGTGCGGTAGTTTTCTTTTAAAATGAAAAAAAAAAACAATTATGTTTATTTTCATCCAAGCTTTTTGCCCGCGGCTCCGCGCGCGTTTATGTGGGTAAAAGAAGTATACATCACTCGCTGAAAATTAAGCTTTTCATTGGTGAAAGATTCTTTTAAATCAGTGTAGTTGTTTAGGCGTGACAGTGTAACAAACAAATAATTTCACTTCACTGTTATGATATAAGTAAGGATCTTAACCGTGGGAGAGCTACTCCACTGCACATCTGGGGCACCCGGAGTTATATCACGGTCTCACGGAAAGCTTTTGTCGGGCAGTTCTTTGGTTACTTTTCACCAAGTGAATGATGGTGCCCAGAAAGGGGCTCCCTCTTTCTGTGTACGCACTTGTGTCACTGTCCGTGTAGTGACGGATTAAGAATACGGAATGTCACTACCCCAATTCATCCCGTGGGTGTCGTAAGAGCCGACTAAGGGCGTGGAGCAGTGGACTATTAAAGACTGTTGATGATGATGATGTATTTATATTTATCATTTCATTGCCTAGCCTGACGTCCCCGGGTATCTACTATATATCCCCGGGTATACTACCACAACGTTCTTACTAAATAGTTTTACTCCATCCGCATTGGTATTAGTTTACCTGCGGATATTAGCAACCACATAGATTAACAACTTAAATACCATAACTTTATTTACTATGTGTAAGAACGGATGTTAAATTTCATTGGAAAGAGTGTTATGAAATTTAAATAGAATGCACGGATGGCGAAGTGGTTTTACTGTTTTAGTTATTCGAGGCATATAATGTATTCTGATGATAAAAAGGTATATTTAAAAATTAAATCTAGACTTGACTGTGAGTTGTTGCAACGAGATCTAACCGCATTATTTTCGTATTATAAACTAGCTGACCCGCGCAACTTCGTCTGCGTCTCTCAATAGTAATAAATTTTCTCCGTTTTTGAAACATTCTTCATTGGTGCTCTGCTCCTATTGGTCTTAGCGTGATGATATATAGCCTATAGCCTTCCTCGATAAATGGGCTATCTAACACTGAAAGAATTTTTCAAATCGGACCAGTTGTTCCTGATATTAGCGCGTTCAAACAAACAAACAAACAAACTCTTTCTAATATTAGCTTGAATACACCCAGGGCTCTTGATAGACATACGCGCCTGTTCAGTGTTCCTCTGCACAGCACCAATTGTGGTAAGAATGCTGTTCTCACTCGTTTGTCTAGGTGTTACAATGATAATTTTGATAAAATTGACATCATCCAACTCCCAAAGAGTGCCTTTAAAAAACAAGTCACTAAAAGGTTGTAATCATACTTGTGAATTCAAATCAAAATTGTTTTCGTAAGTTGCTTCCTTTTGGAATACTTCTCACTCTGCACAATATACCCAATATACTTTAATTAGAGATAGTATATAATATTTATGATTAATTAAGTGGCGCACGCAATTTTTACGTATCGGGATACTTTATTATTGGCTAAGAGTCCATTGATATGTTTATCTTCACCCATTGTATATGTAACATAGGTGTTAGGTTTCCAAATAAATAAATAAACGGTCACCACGCCACTTCCTACAGCGCTAAGGGTTGTTGGTTCGATCCCCACAGGGGGCGACAATTGGTGTGATCAATAAATTGTTGTTCTGAGTCTGGGTGTTCTTTGTGTCCGTTTAAAGTATGTTTGTAAAGTCCTCAGTGACACAGGATATATTCCTAATGCGGGAGTTATCTTTTCTGAAAAAAAAAATAACTTGACTAGCTCTGTTACTAGCTACTGTTAGTGTAATCAGAGAGAGTCAGGAGACATTCTAACTTTTTTTTCTATAGTATACGTACGTATAGTAACGGTCATACGTCATGATGATAAAATTTCATAAATTAACTTTTCTTATTGAAAAACAATGATATCATATACAAACAAGAAGTAGATACGCCACCAACGCACAAAATACGTAGTGTGAATTGGTCCTAATTAGGACCACTGTGTGAGCGCACGTACTAAATAATTCGAGAAAATTCATAAAATACCTTCTCATGTATTCCGAAAGAGCACAAATTATGGTAAAAAGGTAAATAAAGATAAAGGAATATCGTACCACATTCTAAAAGGCATTAATAGATGTATGTACGGATCATCATCATGGGGTGCCATCCTCAAAATGAAGTTTGGAGGTCAGCAGACGGTACACCTCTCGATCATGAGCGGCTTCCTTTAGTTGGCGATATCGCAGTCCGGTCCAGGTCACGATGTCATCTATCCACTTCCTTCGTGTTCGACCTGGTGTCCTCCTGTCTGGTATTTTTCCTTCTAACAGAAGCCTCAGGAATTCATGTTGCGGGCCCCTTTGTATGTGTCCAAAGAAGGCCACCGTCCTTTTCGCTATAACAGCCATCATTGGGACTAATCCCACCCACACGCCCACCGCTGTAACTCCTGTACACCAGGATCCACAGCAGTGACCCACGAACACACCGAGTTATGACACTCGGGAAGTCCCAGGAAGAAATTAAACTGTCT